ATTGAAATCTTTTTATCCGTCGTATTTGTGCATGCGACACGAGTAGTGGGGTAGCCCCTTTGCTGAGCTACTGGTAGACGCAACTGCACACCACCTTATGTAGGAATGAGTGCGATCCTTTCTGCCGCTAACTGCTTCTCTCGTTTTACGGGAAAAAATCACGTTTATTTTCGAGCATTTCGATACTGCAGAAATAATGGTGATTAATTTGCAGTCACTCAATCCCAAACACAGCGAGACACTCAGAAAGAACGAAAGCGTAAACAATGCCATCGGCGTTCGCAGCTATTCGGCCCTAAGTGTAACTGTCTTTGCAAGCGTTCGTCGGAAATAATGCGTGTTTGCTCAAGAGTACAAGCCTAAGGCGGATCCCAATTCTTCAAAGCGGACCTTCCGCATCAGCTTGCATGCATACTCTTTTTGAACTCAGACTTCATTCAGAATCGTAGTGGCGTATTGAATGTGTATGTGGCCTATACAACGACTTGTGATGGCCAGCCGATGTACAAGGCAGTGCTTTTTTATTCTCGCGGACGAGTCTGGTATCAATTGACGGTCCCCAGAACGATGAAGGCTTGTTTGGCCTGGGCGGATATCGATCCGGGACCCGAACCCGTAACCATGCACGTGTTAAGTAGGCCACTTGCCACTGCACCACCTCCGCCGTCATAAAGGGCTATAGCACCTAGCAAACGTAGCTTAGGATACTATTCGAGCTCAAGAGGCTAGCGATGTTTCTAGGGAAGTCAATATTACGAACCTTATCAGGGTCATCCCTCCCTGGTTTTTGTGTGCACCACATGCCCGTAGGGGCTGATTTTCTTTTGCCCTTTTACAAAGATGATTGCCACAGCCTTACTGCCCTGCTGCATAAAAGCCCTTTCTGGCCTTTAGTTTGAGAAAAATCGTCTTTCTTGTTTTTACAATGAGCTAAAGTGACTTCACGGAATCCTCTTTGTTCTCATCACTTCGCCTCTATGCTAACGAAATTTGTCTATTCTTTCTCTCTTGAGACTCTTTCTTATTGTCATTTTACTGATTTTGTCGTATTTTAGGATGTCCTTATCAAAAAAGAAGGAGGACGAGAAAGAAAAGAAGTTTCTCGGACGACTCTCCTACAAACTTGACTACGATTTCGACAAAAATGCGGTCAGCCTTTCTTTTTTCAGTATTCTATTAGATTTTCGACGTCATAGAGGCTATTTTCCAGTTTTGGACTTTTCTAAAATGTTTGCTCCGTTAACGCAATCTTCTCTCCACGTCCACAACGTTGCACAATAGCAATGGTCAGTATGAGGGCCGCATTTTGTTATTTAATTTCCCCCTCTCGGCTGCTTGCAATCAGGCAGAAAAAAAGCAATAAGGAACAAAATTGTGTCCACTGAATCGCCCATTTGGGAGTCCTCAATTGAAAGCGTTCCAAAGGCAACCAGCCAAAATCATAGTAACGCTACATATTTTTGTCACAATGACTTGAATAGGTAGGTGTTCCAGTTGACCAACTCTTTCCATCTAGTTGGGCCGTTTAGCTTTTTTTTCCCTGGACCTCCAGAACTGTAAAGCATAAGATAACTTCAGGGCAATGTTTAAATGCCTTTAATCTGAAACGTCGTGAGTCCAGAGAAGCGACGTATCTCTCCCCAAATGGTATTATATCCTCACCCGCCCTCAAACTCCCACCTCGGTTTTCGGTCACAACCTTCGGAGTTAACGGCAGTTTCCCTCAGGGCCTACTTTTTTCTGTAGACTCTTTCGACTTACGATCGGGTCTCCGATGACGCAGATTCCCAGAGCTTTTTCATCCCTAGCTTGAGAATAAAGGGAGGAAAGCAAAGTACCTTGAATCGTTGAATTCATTTGCAAATACCGTGACGAAGATCGACTATTAGAAATAACTAGCTGCATTCAAAGCTTGATATTTAACTCGAATGGCTATCGAGAAAAACACCACCCCTAAATAGTTCTCGAGGGCAATATTGGCACATAAAAGGGCACAAAATGAGGAGCACCTTCATCATTTCCTCGTGCTGAATGTTAATCTGTTCAACAAGGTCGAGGAGGCTCGTGGCACCGTCGCATCCTCACCAGGTCTCTGACTGAGCCCTGCTGGGGGCCAACTCTCGGCCTAGTGAAACTCCAACTCCATCAGACATCTTCGGGCAGTAGCACGAAGAAGTTCCATTGCTCCTTTGTTCACATTTAGTGAGTTCTTTCAAAAGGATCATAATTGAGGTGGTGTAGAAAGAAGGGGCTCAACCACGTGAATAGTCCAGGCAGGGTTAGCCATCGAGCCTTCCAACCCCCGCCCGTACACGTTTTAGGTGACCCAAACACCGACCTTTAAATCGCCTGGTAACATTATTCGTTGTGTTAACTACATAGGCTTTCGAACATTACTACGATTCTGAGTGAGGGTCGATTGCATGGGCACACTCGTAGAAAGCATCATGAATTGCAGTAAACTTTGTCCTTTATTTTCCCATCACTCTATCCTCCCGCTTCTCAGAAAAAGAAATTGTGATTTTGAAGCACCAAGCGATCGAAGAGCTTTTCCAGCTTCATCTCTCTACTGCTTATCGATGATTTCTCAGAATGCAGTAAGAGCAGAATGAATGCAAAATCGTGCCTAATCATGCGATTGTGCTTCCCAACAAACCCCGGCAATCAAGCAGTGGCTAATACCGGAGGCTGTTGCCTGACTCGCTATGGGTTTTCGGTTCGACAGAAACGAACAGAATTTAAAAAATTGTCAAAGAAGTGAGCAGGAGCGGCACATATAATTGGAACTCTTTTCGCTGCTAAAGGTACATGTGAGACTTTAATGTGTAAGAGTGGAAAAGCGGAAGGGCGACAGGCAATTGTTTTTTCGTCACAAAAGCACTCCTTCAGGGAGAAAAAACGAAAATTCATTTAGTTGCAAGGAAAAAAAAGGTGAAAGTGCGGGTGCTCTTACGTCCTGTCCTCCGAATACGTAGCTATAAGAAAAGAGGTGTTACCATCTCTAAGATAACACCAGGTACCCTTTTAGGTTGAATAGGACTTTTCCTAAATAAGTCGATGCGCTGCGTAGCCAACCTATTAGCTTGTACCAAAAGCCTGGGCTGACGGGAGCCTGTCATGACCAGCTGAGGCTGCAGCGAGAAGAGACATAGTTTAGAGACAACATTCGCAATAACCCTTCATGAGCAAAACTCTCCTGAAAAGGGGGAGGATAGAGCAACAAGGGATAGACAGTAAAAAGTATTTCAGTGCTGGTGAATTCCGTCTGTGGGGTAAGCCCTAGAAATTCATTCAGAGTCGCAGTGGCACTTGAAAGCGTAATGAGCCTATGCGATCAGTTGTAGGTATGGTCGCGGAATGGAAAGCTTGGATGGCACCAGCGTTTCGCCCTAAACCCGCACAGTAACTGATAAACTTATAGGATAAAAGTTCCTAGTATAAACCAGTTGAATTTTCCCCCTCTTCAAAAAGGCGTCTGTCTCGACTTAGGTTGCTCATGGCGCATGATTCTCATAGTATATAGCCACTCAGCCGGTGCAATTCACCATTCTGTGGTGGGATAATCGGAGAAGTAGCCGTGTTTTCAGCTTAGTCACGGCGTTCATCCTTGAGGGTATGGGTCTGACGCAACGATTGTTCAGAATAAAATTCGAAACAGTATATAAATATTTGGTAGAGAGAAAACTTATTGAAAAGCCATTGGCATCAGTAGTTATTGATTGAAAGACGATTAAGTTGGCCACTTTATAACGACGGAGTGGCTTCTGTATCTTCTGGAGCTATTTGGACGGTCATCGATTGAGGAGCGGAAGACAGATATCGCTTTCTCATAGGTAGAGTGATTCGTCAGCTAGAAGAATGTGTCTAGGGGAAAATCGACTGTTGCTGCAATTGGAGTCATCCAAGAGATTTACCTACTGGATCACCTGCCGTCCGGTTGATCTACAATTCCCTTGAACAAGCCCTAGTAAGATCTACATTAATTCCTGTCGCACCAAACCGGTCCAGTGCGTCGTCCTCACTTGAGAGAAAATAATCTTTCCGTTTGAAGCTGTCGTGCAGAAGTCAGTAACCGCCCTTGTCCAACGGTCATCACATTCTCGCATGACGTGTCTGGTCCACCTGATTCCTTGACGCAGGCAACGCCTCCCTGATCTAGATTCGTAGACAGAGCACCAGTTTTTCTTCTGCACTTGCCTGTATCGAAAAATTACCTCGTACTTCCCCACAGTTCGTTGGATGACGTAGACAGCATGCAAATCCTGCAATCCAAGTCTTCGAGGGCTAGGTTAAAGCAATAAGGACTGTATCGAAAGGATAGGCGCGGAGCATATGTTCCTTGCCTTTTTCACTACTCTCTCGATGTTCTCCGATGCTTACCCATGCCACCCGTTCCTTCTGCTCATCTCCGGAGTTGCCTTCTCAACCTACATACACGTAGCCAGAACATTGGGAGATGTTTGTCCTCTCAGAGTAAGAGGAGCCTCCCATGAGTAATTCTTGTCCACTGGGCAGGCTCACTGCTATCTACTCGGAGCTTATTCAGCCTCAAGTCAGGAACTGGTAGACTACTCGTGGTACCCATATGCCGAACACAGTTATATGAATAGTTTCCACTCCCGTTTACTTGAGAAAGCACCAGTGACTTGCGACGTACACCATTGTTTCTGCTTATCGCTCTTACCATCACGTTCCATCGTTTATAAATTGATTTTGGCACTTCATTTTCTCTGTCAAAAAAANTTTTTGTCGACTTTACAATTCTTGGTCTTGGAAAAAGCAGAACCTGTCGCTGCCACATCGAAAAGATCAGGAAGTTGGCAGACGTGGAAGGAAATGGAATAAGTGAGCTCCAAGAACATCCACGATGTATTGGCGAACATGCCTGGTGGTGTGGGTAGCAAATTACAGTAGATCTGTTGCGCTCATAGTTAAGTATTCGGTAGTTCGTATGTCTCCGGTCGGTTTCACAGCATGAATGCTTTAGTGCTGTCTAGTGGGGTCTATCAGAAGTGAATGCATTCCGAATTATGTATATCTTTCTCCGTCCCAGACTGTGCGAATGATCTGTGGAGCAAGAATGAAAAATTCCATGCCAATGCCATCCTATTCATAACCATTACGAACAACCAGCACGCTAATTGCCACTGTGCAAGGCTCATCTTTGCAAGTTACGAAAAGAATGTTTTTTTGAGTCCTAGCCATAAATTGCGCTTAGTGCTGCTCTTGCAGAATTTAATCAACGATTAAAAGGTTGTTGTTGCTGGAACAAAACGAAAACGAAAAAGGGTTGTCGCCTGGGAATTGCGAAGGAAACTATTAGCGTAAACCTCAAAGAATTCAGGTTCATTTGAGTAGAAAACTGCGAGAATGAGGTTGAGCGTTTAAAAAGGGCTCAACCCTTTTGCAGTATAGAACAAGACTCGAGGAAATTGAAAACAGTTTAGATTCACCCGTCTCTCCATCTTTAATTTTTAAATTCAGCTTTAAAATAATAATTCTTTGAACAGTTTTAATTTTTTGATTTCCAGTAACGAGAAGGGCATTTTCGACTAACACCTACCTGTATTAAAAATCATTGTATCATTGAGATTCTGATTTTGTTACTTCAGTTGACGGTGGTGATCGTACAAGCTGAAGAGCTACCTGCTATGGATCTTGGTGGCACTTCAGATCCATATGTGAAACTGTTCCTTCTTCCTGACAAAAAGAAGAAGTTTCAAACGAAAGTTCAGCGTAAATCGCTCAACCCTGTCTTCAACGAGAGTTTCACTTTCAAGGTTGGCACTTTATGAACTATCTTCATGTTCCGTCTAGTACTTTAATGTTGTCAGCATTATTTCAAAGCCTTGAAATTTGGGTAGCCCATCAAAAATCCTCCGTCAGAATGAGATTTATCATACAGAGATCATCCTCTTCTAGTTACCTGGAGAATTCCGATAGGGAACTATAGAGGAAAAAAAAAACTAGGAAATGTATTCCTTTTGTCTCACTGTCCGTCTATCGGACATTGAAGTAGTGAATTTTATTCAAAAATTCTAAACTAGGTTGTGAGCTTTCACCAACCTACAAACTTTGACGAACAATTAAGGCCACATACCTGTAATATGAGCCTCGCGTTTATCTCGAACCTGCCATAAATTAACAAAGCCTCCACCTACGTAGTTGGTTGACTGGTGCAGTAAACGAGGAACTGTAAACTTTAGCAGAGAACTTCACTTTTTTCACTATCAGCCGGGTCAAAAACTTTGTTTTAAAATAGTTCAGTCTGAGGAAATAATCTCAAGTTTGGAAAAATATTCTTTTGTCTTGAAGGTTGTTGACAACGAGCTTGTGACTACAGTAAGCGCTCAGCAGTATTTTGTAGCCCACTTGGTTACTGGTAGACGTTTCTTCTGCTATCGAAGTGAAAAGTGATCAGCATGGGGTGGTTTTCTGGTAAAATTGTCATGATTTATTTCCCTACCGAGCCAAACCAAGTCACACGGCAGCAACACAATCTATTCACTTCTCTCATGCAAATGCTATCTAATCATGAAACAGATTACCATCTCAACGTTGCGAGTAAATTTCAAAATAAATTTATTCTAGATTTTTCAAATATTTGAAATATCACATTGTAGAGCTTGATGAGTTGAGTTCAGCGAAAAAAAAAACAGCTCCAAACCGCCATATAACAGCAAGTGAAGATACGCGAACTTTACCCTATCTCTGAGTTTCCTTATGCGCTGAGTTCTACTCTTGTTCACTATCCTCATATCATAGTCTTATATAGCTTCAAACGGTAATCAAAAGCGTCATGTGTCCTCTGGTCCTCAAGAATTGTCAGCCAACGCTGAGTATTACAGCTGCTACCTAGTAATTTGTGGGCGGCTCAGCTACTGTCAATGTTGCGATTGGTGAGGCGAACCTCGCTTTATCAGCGTTAAAATATAATACATCGACCACTGAAAATTCCGTATCCTTAATTACCATTTTTAACTGGTTGCCGCCCATTTCTTGCCACGTTGTCGGCCTGAAGACGACCCATGAACTCTGTCATTACAGTCAAATCTTAGCAAAACAGTCGCCTCTGCTTCCAGATCCCATACAATGAAATCGGCGGTCAAACCCTGGTCCTCAACGTTTTCGATTTTGACCGATTCGGTAAACACGATCAGGTAAGATATTAATTTTCTAAAGTTACTGAACTTCTTCGAGAAGCCTTCACGGTATTCGAGTTTAGATTGGCCAAATTTCTATTCCACTTGGGAAAATTGACCTCGCTACAACAATCGAGAAAACCGTTCCGATTGAAAGTCCTCCCGTGAGTAAGATTTTTTTGTCACAGTTTTGTGTTTGTGCTGTAATGTTTGCTGAGGGTTTCAGGAAAATCGGCTGGGAGAAGTTTGCCTCGCATTGCGCTACGTTCCCAATAAAAATAAACTTTCCGTTGTCGTTATGGAATGCAAAAACCTCAAGAAAATGGACGTCTTGGGGTTATCGGGTGAGTAATTCCTATCCCACTCAGCCTTCAGATGGTATTCCTTGATCATACAGGCTGCCCTGATCTCATGCTTCCTACTCCTTACTCGTCCTTTTCTTTCTTTTCTCATCTCATTATGAGGCTCACCTTGCCTTAGGTGGAATAGCATTAGCTTCACCGGTAGTGTAACTTCGCCATTTCTGCCTCCTCCTCCTTCTTTCCATGTCTCTTCTTTCATTGCTGGTTGTCCATACTCCTCTCCATCGAAGTCTTTTGTAATCCTATTGCTTTTCATGTACGACTTACAGTCGAGAGACCGGCACACGTACAGATGTGCTTGGAGAAACCTTTTTTGAAACGAACGGGCCTTACTCACGCCTTATTTTTCCGTTAGCCTTCTCTGGTTGGCGTAGTTATGGCAAAACCTCTCGAATTCAAAGTTCCGTGACTGACTGAAATTTGATCCGAGTCTTCAAAAGGGATGCAGGACAGTTTCCTGATACCATTGAAGAGGCAGATCGAATAAATTTTAGAAGCGGTTTCCAATACTTTGAAAAGGGTTCATTGCTAGTACACTCGGAAGCATTGGCAGACAAGAAGCTCGTAGTTGTGAGTGCTATGAGCACTGCCGTCCTGAATGATGTAATACAATGTACCATGCTCTATGTTCTGCTTCTGTATTTTCTGTTCCCTTATCCTAACTTCTATGCTCCCTGATCTTCTTCACTGTTCCTTTTCCTTTTGCAATAGTCCTTTTTGTTGTTTAGCCTCCAATTAGCGCCAACAGTTGCATTGTTTGAAGGCTTGATTAGCTCTAGTTGAAAGGGAGTTCTTACATGTTACACTGCATTTTCAGATCCTTACGTGAAGATTTATTTGATGTTACAAAATAAGCGATTAGAAAAGAAAAAGACCACAATCAAGATGAAAACTTTGAATCCTTATTACAACGAGTCGTTCAGCTTCGATGTCACTCCGGAGAAAATGCAGGTTAGTTGAGTCTACCGCGTTCTTATGCCAACTAAAACATACGTGATGGGTTTCAGAGGGTGCATCTCCACATTACAGTCTCTGATTATGACCGTGTCGGCTCCAACGAGAGGATAGGACAAGTAGGTTTTCTTTCCCACTGTTTATTGCTGATGGTCATAAAAGTCCTAGTTACTGCCGTTTCAGCTACAAGTACAGTTCAAAAGGTACAACCCCCAACTCCAACTTTTTTTTTTGCAAAAAGGTGGAGTATTGAAAAGCTTCGATTATTTGGAACTCACTACTTTATCCCAAAAGCTTTAACTTCAAAAGCACCCCGGTGAATATGACCAATAACTGCCCAATCCCTCTCGTAGACAAGCAAGGCATATAAAAGGACTACCGAGAAAGACAGATCTGCGACGAAATATTAATAGTTTTTTATTCCGCGATATTCTGTTGACAAAGTACAACTGGATTTTCGTAATAGCAGAAGTTTCTTAGAGGAAATCATTGTAGGGTTATTTGGAAAAATCCGGCAAAGGTGAGTTTCTTCAAGAAGAATAATGCGCGAGGCGCGATGGTTAATATGGTTGAGCATAGGTCCTCAGGCAAAGTGATAGTGATGACTTCTAGTGATCATAACTCGATAAAGAGAATGGACACGGCCAACGAAAATGGACACGCGTGGCATCGTTAGATAGAGTATGAAAAGCTCTTCAAAATACATGCTAACGAACACACCTAACTGTTTCCTTTCCTGCAACCACGCCCCATGATTTCAAGCCGTCGCAACTCCACCTCGGCAACACCCTTCTATTTCTTTTTTTATCTGGTCAAGAACCCACGGAGATCGATAGACGTATGAAGGAAGTTTACAAGAAGGTTGCTCCTGCTAGATGTACAATTTACAAGTGGCACTCGAGGTTCACGTCGGACGACCATTCCATCGAAAATGAAGACCGTCCGGGACGCTCAATGAAGTTGGATTTGGACGTGCTGCGGAGCCAGGAGGAAGCCGATGCGTACCAAACTACTCGTGAACTGGCAGTTGTCCTTGGGGAGTCAGCCCACATTTATTCGTGGAGTGAAGTTTATCGGCAAGGTGCAGAAGCTCGGTCGATGTGCGCATCACGCTATGAAGAAGTATGACATGGACTGCCGCGCTGACACAGCAGAAACGTATAACGTATTTTTAGAATGTATTTGGAAGAGCTTTTTATACTCTATCTAGCGTTGCCACGCTCGTCCATTTTCGTCATCTCTTTCCTGAGTTATGATCTCTAGAAGTCATCACTATCACATTGTCCGAGGACTTACGACTCAACTTAATAGCATACGCTTACCTTCGCTACTTGTCCTATTCTGAGATGAATTGTAATAACGAATTAATGCCGTACTGGGAAAGATATTATATTTTAACATTTGCCCAATACATTCACATTTTCTTCGTTCTCGAGATTGTGAAGTAATACACTTTCAAAAGATCG